GGGGGGGGGGGGGGTGGGGGGTGGGGGACGGGCCCTGAACTGTGCTGGGAAGGGGCCATCTGTCTCCATCTTTTGGGGATCTGGGGCTGTTTCAAAGAGAGAAACAAACCCGCTGGCTGGAACAGAAATATCAGGATAGCCTCCGCCAAGAGGCCCGATTGAAATCTGGGAAGCGGAGGCCTCTTGACTGTCTCCTGAAAGGCTTCCTCGCCGCCTTCTGAAAGGGCACACTCAGGCACACACTCTGCGGATCCCGTTGCTCTTTCAGCTCCACTGGGTGCTAACTCGCCTCCGTGTTCCAGGGGATTCTCCCAGGTGGCTGCAGCCCTTGCCGTCTCTCAGGGCAGGCCAACATGTACACGTGTGGCCAGGGCGTGAAGCCCGGAGAAGTCACCCAGGAGGGTCAACTGATGTCGCGCTCAGGCCCACCCTCTTCCCTGCTGGGGAAAATGCAAACTAAGGTGGGAGTCAGAGGTCTTGTGTGGTTCAGGAGTGTAAATGTGGCTTTGGGAGAACCCAGGTTGACAGCCAAGAGATTCTGGGAGAATTAGGAAGGACATTAGGATGTGTTTTATGAAATCTGCTCCCTATCCCCAAACTCTGGCCAGAGTGAAAGGGGACCTCGGGTGGGTAACAGAGCAGAGATCGTGAGCTCAGGCAGGAAAGTCGGCCCAGCTGTCAGTCAACTAGAGTGAAGGGTGCTGCCCAAGTCCAAAGAGGTAACTGAGACCCACACTTCCTTCTCCAAAGAGCTCTGAAGTGGCACCTTCAGCCAGGACCATGTGCACCTCGCACTGCAGCCAGGATGTCAACTCTGCTCTTGTGACTCCAAAGCCTACGTGCCTCCCCACCACAGCCCAAGGCTTCCAAGGTGTGTGGCCATGAACAGGGCCCATATCTCCCTGACATCCCAGCACCATCGCCACATGGAGGTCCTGGGCCTGTCCCTGGCTCCCCGGGCCCAGAATCCCTTCCAGAGTAAAGTATGAGGTGAGAGAGACGAGGGGTGAGGGACAGGGGGTGAGGTCACAGCTAACACGTCAAAGAAAATAGGTATTTGGCTTTTGCAACAACTTAATCTTAAAAATCAATCAGAGCATTTTCAAGGTGACAGCAGGATTATTACAACAGTTCAATGTATTGAGCACTTCTTATGTGCCAAGCCTTATACCTGGCACTTTCTCTGAGTCACTGTCATTAGGTCTTCAGATACATTGTTGTAATTGGAAAAAAGCCTAGTAAATTGGAGAATAGAAGGGGTTGAGTAGGTCATTTTAGTTTAAGGAAATACGTGAGGTTATTGAGTTCTATAGCTAGTGTAAATCCTATGATGGTTACAGTAAGTGCTGAGAGTTTTAGATATAGTGGTATGGTTATTTGTGGAGTTATTATGGGAGGAATGGAGTGTGAGATGAGGAAACCTGCGAAGATGCTACCTAGGGCTAGGCGTTTACCTAGGGCTAGGCGTTTAATGAGGCTCCAAGAGACTCTGGACAAAACAGAGCCTCATCTCAAGAATGGGAGACATGGCTGGGTGTGGTGGCTTACATCTATAATCCCAGCACTTTGGGAGGCTGAGACCAGAGGACTGCTTGAGCCCAGGAGTTTGAGACCAGCCTGGGCAACATAATCAGACCTTGTCTCTACAAAAATAAAATAAAATAAATTATCTGGGTGTAGTGGTGCATGCCAGCTACTAGGGAGGCTGAGGTGGGAGAACCACTCTGAGCCCAGGAGGCAAGGCTGTGATGAGCTATGATCATGCCACTGCACTCCAGCCTGGATGACATAGTGAGACCTCGACTCAAAAAATTAAATAAATAAAATTTTTTAGAAAGAGTGGTAGACAATAAAGCCCCTCTCCACCTCCTGGGGTTGTTCTGGGTATGGCTCCTATGGGCACCCCATCACTGTGAGTCCTTTCCCATCCCACCCTCGTTTATTTAAAGGGGCACAGGGGTAAGACAGGCCTGGGCTTCCCACAAGGGAGCCGCCAGATGTTCAGAAGATGCCGAATGAAGGGAATAAAAACTGCTCTGTTAAAAGGCCCCTGCCCGACTGGCCCAGAGAGACAGAAATTTCATAGCTACTTTCAATTTACGAGTTGTTGGGTCCTGGAAGGCAGGCGGATCATAAATCTCAAACCAGAAGCCAGCCGGGATCCTAATGAATAAGGGCCATACAGCGAGTGCCCCATTCACCCACCCCCACCCTGGGTCCTCCTGGAGCAGTGTCCGGGAAACAACCTGGCAGACCGGTCCCGTGGATGGCGCTAAGGCCAGGCCAGGGAGGCCAGCCCCAGAGGCCCAGGGTTTCCACCTGGCAGGTCGGGTGGAGACACAGCTCTAAGAACCTTGGGTAGGGCCAGCTCCGCTCAGGCTGGCAAGAGGGAACGGGAGGAAGCCGCACTGTTACCTGCAGCAGGCATTGCATGGACAGAACCTGAGTCCCGGTTCTCAGGAGGAAGCTGGCCGGGTGCTCATGTTGCTACAGATCAAGGGTCGGTGTCTGCCAGGCAAGTTTTCTCCATATCCCCCTCCCTCCTCTCATATGACGTGCTTCTAGGCACTGGGGACACAGCAGAACACAGGTATCTGTGGGGCCTCCGGGGGACTGGACAGCTCAGGATTAGGTTTTGCAAGCCCCAGCTTCCTCCCCCCCCCGCCGCACAGAGTGACTTGAAGGCAAGTCCCAGTACCTAGGACAGGGCCCAGCAAGCAGTCTGTGCTTTAGCTAACTGACAGGTAAAAATGCAAAGGCCTCAGGAGCAGAGTTTTTCCAGCCAGGTCGTGCAAACCCAGCAGACTTCAGTGTCAATCTTTGTTCTGCCTGTGATGTTACTGCCCATGAGGTCTCTTGGACAAGTTACTTAATCTCTCAGAGCGCCAGTTTCCTCTTTTGCAAAATGGGGATAATAATGCCTACCACCATAGGGCCTTTGGGGGAACTGCAGGCACTGGTGTATAGTACTTGGCACAGAGCCTAATACCCAGCAGGTGACCAACAAATGTCGCTGTGACTATGCCCACAAGGAGGTCCTGTGGACTGAGCTTCAGAGCTCTTTCCTGGGGTGGGGAGGTCCTCTGAATCTGTGATAAGCAGGAAATGCCTGCCCTTTCACTGTGACCACACATGGGGAAGGGGGCAAGGGAGCAGCCAGCATGGCACCCCAGCATGCCTGACCGCGCCACAGGATCCCAGCTCTGCCTCTCCCTCCTGCTATGGTCCAAGCTGCTTGGGCAGGAGCTGGGTGTTCCTGCTGACCAAGTGAGCCTGGGCCATCCCAAAAAACGAAGTGACATGTCACATTACAGTCATTGCTGCAGAGATCTCAAAGTACTTCGAAATGGAGGTTGCCATTGGACCAGCTGTTAGATCTCATTCTTTAATGCAAGGATAAAAAAGCATATATACAAGTCTATCACATTTTAACATATTTCCATCATCATATTCAATATAACTGGTTCCTTCACACTCCTTTTTTATTTCATGCATTTAAAAACTCTATTCTGAGAAGGGGTCATGGGTTTCACCAGCTTGGCAAGGAAACCCAAAGCACGAGGTCAGGACTCCAGAACACCTGATTTCCAAGGCCCCTTTGTGATTTGTCTCTGTTCCCCAAGGGCCCTATATTAGCATAACTATGAAACTGAATTTGCTGATCACATTGTCTCCCCCTCCCCCACTGCAATCAGGAAACACATCCAGGCCGCGGCAGCCTTTCCAAACTCCCTGGCTTCCCACAGAATGCGCTCGAATGACACTGGAAAAGTTTCAAAAATCCAGGCCTCCCCCTTCTTTAATTCCTTTCTTCCCCCAACAGATGTTGCAGGCCTGGTGAGGAAGCCCATCGTGTGCGACTCTCACGCCACTGACGGTACTTCACTGTCCAGCCAATTCCCCAGCACCACGCCTACTTCCCGCCTGAGGAAGCCCCTTCAGGGGTCTTGGGGAATGGTCCAAATCACTCCCTTTCCACCTCAGACCCAGAGGGTAAGCTTTCTGGAGGCTCTGGGCTGAGGAGGAGGGACGAAAGCCACAGCCTGCCCAGTGCTCACAGCCATTTCTCTAGACTTTGGTAATTGCAGGTCACAATCTTCAAGCCTCCTTTTTAATGACTGGCTGCAACCTCCTCTTCTTCAGACCTTGGCCTCGCTTCCCAACCACCCAGAACCACTGGTTTGAATTTTCTTCTCTTTATAATTTAGGGAAGCCTGGACCAAGAGCCCCTGGCAAAGGGTTCCCCTTCTCCGGCCTTTGGCTTCCTGATCTGAACAAGGACGATGATTGTTAACGGCTCTTCCCGTCTTAACGTCCTGGGAGTGAAGGCACGGAACCTCACTGGGCCAATGCACCAAAAACAGCTGTGCAGCGTCAGGCCCGGGGAGTGGCCGTGGTGACTGTGATTCATGGCTGTCTTTCTCATCTAAAGCCCGCCTCCCTAAGAGTCAGCATCCACATCAATGGTGGGGGGGTAGGGGGGTACCCAACCGACCTCTGGAGCTGTTCTGAGAATTACATGAGGTAGTGTGTTCAAGGTGCTTGGCAAAGGGCTTGGCACAGAGCAAGGGCTCAGTAAAGGGAGGTACCACATTCAGAGGCCGTCGCCAACCTACCTGCTCACCCACAGGCCCCGGCCGTCCAGAATCCCCTGGTTCTCCCTGCAAAGAAACAAGAAGCTGGGTTGGGATGGGAGATGGAAGACTCGGCCTCCTGGGGGACTCCCTGAGGTACTGGCCTTCATCACCATGACCGTCATTGGATGAGCCAGGAAACTCATCACCAGGGGCTGGCCTGGGAGACCCCAAACAAACGGCCAGGACAAAGGGGCACTCGAACAGAACCTCTGGGCCCAGACATAACTCACATCACCCATTCCCTGGGAGGGGCCATTGGCAAATTACTCGGCACCCTTATGTGTATATCTCCCTTGTAGCCTTCAACAACCCATGGCATTTTGTGGAGGTAGAAACAGAGGCCCAGAGAAGTGAAGGGACCTGCCCAGGGTCACTCAGCGAGCTAGAGGTAGGGCTAGAATTGGAACCTCGGTGTGCCCAACTGAAATGCCCATCACAACCCCATCAGGGCCCCACCACAGGAGGAGCAGGGACCTGGTGACTCAGAGCCCCTGGATCCTAGACCTCAACCCACCAGAGCTCAAGGGTGACCATGGTGAATCCTGTCTCTGCTCTGGGCTCAGCCTCCCCAGTTACACTTAAGGTTCCTCAGACTCATTGGCCTCCAAGGCTCTTTCCCACTTTCACCTTTGGTGGCCTCTCATGGCCTTGCCTGCCAGTTTTGTCCCCTGCTGGGGTGGCTCCTGCTCCTTAGGCGGTCCTGGTCTCCCCACAGCAGACCCTTGGGATAAATCCACCCAGAAGGTGTCACCACTCCCACCACAGAAACCCAACTGGTATCTGAGGGAGAGAGGCCGAAACCTCAGAGGGAAGGACGTGGGCTCAGACTAGCCAGGAGTTTGGCTCAAAAACAGACGTGGCTCATTGTGGTCCTGGCTGCAGCATCACCCTCCCCTTCAGCTCCTCCCTGGACTCACACTCACAGATACCAGAGGGACCAGGACAGGCAGGCGGGTCATTTCCCCGGAAGTGGGGGGCGACATGGGTCATTTCCCCGGAAGGGAGGGAGACACAGATGACCTGGGCTCCCCCAGCTCTGCCCTAATCTGTGGCTTTGCCCATCTAGGAACCTGACCCAGAAGGGCTGGGAGCATCCCCTCCAGGGGAGTCCTTGGAAAGTCATTAAGTGAGGTTGTCCATGTGTTGAGTATTGTTACTCTACCCTGGGACCGTTCTTGATGATAATAATTTTATTATTATTAGCAAATATAATACCTATTTATCATATACAGTGGGGAAAACAGAAGCCCAGAGAAGAAAATGAAACCCTCATATTATCCCACCACCCAGAAATAACCCATCAGCTTTCCAGCCTCTGCTCTGAGCACAGAGGCGCAGGGTGAAGCCAGCCCTGCAAACAGGTCATGCTTGAACATTCCTTCTTGTCACCTGCTTCCTACTACCCCTGCCACCCCACGCATGGGCGTCTTCTGCTTTTGTCAAATATCTTGGGTGGCTGCACTATATCCCACTATTTGGACATTCCCCCACTGTTGGGCAGTTATGCCCATTTATTTTTTTCTCTGCTACCAACACTTTGTAATCTATGGAGGCCAATTTTTTCTTTGTTCTCACAACTGGCTATGGGATTTGGGGCTTGTCCTGTGACCCCCAGATGTGGAACCCCCTTCTCTCCTCTTGCCCCTAGGTATCTCCAAGTCTCCTCACCTTCACACCATCTGGGCCGGGCCTCCCAGGAAATCCCTTCCTGCCAGGCTGACCCTGCAACAGAGAGAGGGGTGAGTGAGAAGCTGGGCAGGGGCAGCACTGCTGGGGCCCTGAGGACTGTCACAGGGTCCCCATGGCTGTGGAGAGGCACAGTGCCTCAGGAGAGTAGAGATGTAGAAACTTGATGCCACCAGGCAGTCAGCTGTCCTGGAATACAGGGAGGGTCTCTAGCTGCATGACTTCAGAAAAGCCTCCCCACTCCCTGGGCTGGTCATCTCCCTGGGGATGACATCTGCCTTCAGCAAGTGGGGGAAAGGGACTCTTGTGCTTTTTTTTTTGAGTCAGGGTCTCACTCTGTCATCCAGGCTGGAGTGCAGTGGCATGCTTACGGCTATTGCAGCCTGCTGGGCTCAGGTGATCCTCCCGCCTCAGCCTCCCAAGTAACTGGGATTATAGGCATGAGCCACCATGCCAGGCCTTCATGTGTTTTTCCATCATGTGCTGTGGAAGATCAAGGGCACGGGGGATGGAGAGTATATGCCAGTGGTCCTCAGCGTGTGACCAGAAGGTCTGGAGGTCACTGAGACCTTTTTAGGAGATGAAAACCTTTCTCTTCATGACATTGAGATGTCATGTGCCCTTGCCTCCACTCTCATGAACGTGAGTGGGCTTTTCCAGAGCTGCATAACATGTGGTATCGTCAAGGGACTGAAATGCAGAAGTGGAACTGAGAATCCAGCTGACTTCTATTAAGCCAGACATTAAAGGGATTTGCAAAAATGGTAAAACAATGCCGCTCTTTCCACTCAATTATTTTGCTTTGGAAAATAGAGTGGTTTTCTTGCAAAAAATATTATTTTTATTAACAGGAAGTGGGTTTATTATTAGTCTTCAATGAATTAATAAATACAAGTCAAGTTTCTTGGTTTTAATTATGAGTATCGGTGGATGTAATGCACACAAACAAAAACGCTTTGGGTCCTTGCCTCAACCTCCTGAGTAGTTGGGACTACAGGCGCGTGCCACCACTCCCAGCTATTTTAAAAAAATTTTCTTTTTTTTGTAGAGATGATGTCTCACTAGTCTCAACCCTCCTGCCTTGGCCTCCTAAAGTGCTGGGATTACAAGCGTGAGCCACCACACCTGGCTTCTCAATCGATTTTAAGAGTGTGAAGAAGAGGTCTTGATACCAACAAATTCACAGACCGCTGGTTCATGCAATTGCTGGAATGAAGGATGGTGGGACAAGTGACTTCCAGAAGGCTGCTTGGAGCAGTGGAGAAAACTTGGGCTGAGTCTCTAGGCAGGGCATCCTGCTTCCTAGCTGTGAGATGTGAGATGCAGAGCTAGAGCCCTCACTCTCATTTGCCTCCCTTCTAAGGAAACTAAGAAAACGGAGCCTCTCCCACGGGAGCACTGAATGAGAAGACAGACACAGAGCACCCAGCACACACAGAGGGGCCGGGACCATCCATCTCCTGGCTTTGTCTTTCTCCCTTGGCGTCCTCTCTCTGGTGGTCCAAGGCCCTCCCTGATGACTTCTCTCCGGAGTACTGGCCAGAGGTTGCCCTTTCTGGGCACGGCTGGCTCAGCTCCAAAACCTCCAGCCTCCCCCAGGCCAGCAACACTCACCTCCAAGCCAGGTGTCCCCGGTGGCCCCATGGGTCCCTCATCTCCCTAGAGTTAGGAGAGAGGAAAAAGGGAGAAAGTTAACCCGGTGGGACTCTGGGAGAACTTATCCTATAGGCAAGGAAAGGGGTGGAAGGAGGAGAGCCCACCTGGCCCCAGATGGGGCAGGGGCTCTAACAGTCATGGCCTCGAGGCCAGGGCACAAGGTGACTTCTGGTGAATGGGGACTCCTGGGTCATGGTGGTCCTGAGCAGGGAGCAGGAGAGTTAAGCCCCAACGTGTGCCGTGAGGAACAGGGACTCACAACTCTACACTACAGGCTCCACTCTGCAACCCTACAACTCTGCAACTCTATGCTACTCTGAGTTCTGCCATGTACCCACGGGCAGACCTCAGCCCCCTGTGCCTCAGTTTACCCAGGGTGGAGATAATCCTAAAGCATGCCGACTGGCTTCAGTTGATGCCAGTGATGATGTCTTATTCCTTTTTCCAGCCACCCCCAAGCTTCACTCGGTATGGTACAGTATCTAGTGGATGTTTGGTGAATGAATGAGTGACTGAGTAAATGAAGAGAGCAGGCATAGGAGGGGAAATGTGAATGTGCACAAGCACGTGGCTGGTGCTGTCTCTCCCTCCCTTCCCTTCCCACCCTGGCCCATGGGACCCTCCAGTCCCCCTGCCCCGCAGGCTCAGGCAGACTGGTCCCTTCTGGCATGCTAGTCCTGACCAAGGAGCTCCCTTCAGAGCCAACCCCCTCCGGCTCTTCTCCTCCAGCTTCCAGGAAAGTGGCCCCACGTGGCGGCTCCCTGAGCCAGCATTGGGACCCCGCCAGACCCATAGCCAGCCCAAGAAGGGATCCATGTCAGCTGGATGCCCGCCTGTGGTCGCGGTGAGTCTGAGCCTCCCACACTCGCAGCCTAGAGCTGTGTGTCACAGAGGCCTGGGGTCTGAGTGAAGGTGGGCGGGGCAGGGGGAGGCTAAGGAGGAGGTAATTGAGGCCTGCCTGTGCAGTGCCCACCTGGAGCTCCAGCAGATCCATAGAGACCCTCCCAGAGCCCTTTGGCAAGTGCACGTCACCCAGCAGCTAGACACTCTGCCACTTCTAGCTCTGCAAGGTGTGTGATGCTCTGGGGGTATCCCCAGGCAGCTTCCAGGAGTACAGGACCTGTGTCATGGGCTTTGGGCTCAAACCGAACTGGCTGTGTTTCGTGGCCCTGCCTGCTACTAACCATGGGGTCCAACCGAGTCTCTACCTCTCTGACAATTTTTACCCTCCCATTAATGCCTTGATAAGCTGTGCTATGAGTACTGTGAGCATGCATAGCGGCAGCAGCTTTGGGGAACAACTACAGGCGATGGGGATGGGGCAGAGGGAGGGAGGGAAGGAAGCATTTTGCCAGGCCAGGGCAGATCCCTGGAAGGGTCACGGGGCAGACTAGAGGGTGAGCTGGTGGGTGAGTCTGAGGCAACCCTACTCAGTGGTGTCCTGGCTGCAGGGTCTCAGGACAGAGCAAACTGGGGGCTGTGGTCAGGCCAGGAGAGGCAGTAGGGTACAGACAGAAGGGTTGGGGCCAGATAGTCTCACCTCGGGCCCCAGCTGCCCACGGGGTCCCGGCAGGCCTCGAGCTCCAGGCTTACCCTGGGGAGAAGGGAATAAAAAGGGGGTCTCAGCCTCAATACCTCCATCTCCATCACAGGCTGGCCAGGTGCCCTCTGCCCCAAACCATGGAGCCAGCCCTCGAGGCTGGGGGTTTCCGCAGAGTTGACTGCAGCCACCCTGGATGAGACTCACCTTCATGCCTTCTGGGCCATTATCCCCAGGGGGGCCAATGTCTCCTGGGAATCCCTGTGGATAAGCAGAGAGCAGGGTCACCCATTGGGGCTGAAAAGGGTATGCCATGAGCCTGGGCCTTGGAGGGCAACTGACCTGGGTTTCCTCCCATCCTGCCAGGATGAGACCCAGGACAGGTGAGCTAACCACCTTGACCCCTCAGCTCTCTGTTCTAAAACAAAAAATTGTGGTTCCAGCCCTGACCTCTCAGAGCTACCGAGAAAGTAAATGAAACCATGCAGGAAAGGATGAAAGTCGTCACACGCAAGGTCACACACAGGTCATTATTTCCCAAGTCCTGCGTGGCCATCAGGTCACAGTGATGGGTGTCCTGGAACATTGCTCCCTGGAGCCAGCCACCCTCTGCCCCGAGAAGGTTCCTCCTTAGAGCACAGGAAGCCTGCAGGCGGGATTGTTCATAGGCTTGCTGTGACTCTGAAAGGGTCGGACAGCTCCGACTTCATGAACCTCATTTCCCGCCGTCAGAAGCCAAAATCCTTGCCACAAATGCCTCACTTGGGCAGACGTGTTGGGTTTGGCCCCATACCACACATGGGCCCACTGCTCCTGAGGAGGCCAGTTCCCACAGGATGACTGCAGTAGAAGGTTGTTCCTGACCTGGGCAGACTCACCTCCCTTCCCCCCAATGTCCTTGTGCTACCCACAACGCACAGGGGCTCCCTCTCCCCATAGTGGTCTCTGCACAATTTGGAGACCGTTTACTCCATTCCCAAGATGTTCCCTTCTCTGTTCCTCCAAAGGCTTCTTTGAAGGGTCTAGAGTCCTCAGCCTGGCTGCCTCCCATCGGCCAGTTTCCATGCTCGTGATCACTGGGATGCCCAGGCTTCTCTGGGCATGAGTTGACCAGCACGAGCCAGTATGGGAACATCCCTTTGTTTTAGGTGTAAGACTTCTGTTCATTCAGTCTGGAACACATTAGCTTTTGGGGCAACCTCTCTATTCCTTCAGTTTCCCACCAAATCCCTTTGTAATGAGTCCCTGTAACCAAAATGTATCCTCTCACCTGGTCTTCATAAGTGGGATTTTTTTTTTTTTTTGCTTCCTCTTTTAACCTTTTAGTAACTCTTGTTAAATTCTGGCTCAAACATTGCCTCACTGGCAAAGGCAAGAATGGTCCTGAATTTGGAGCTCACACATGAAGCCAAAGCCTCCCATACCTGTTTCTTCAAAATGAGAGGCTCAAAAATAAATCTCATCTTGCCACCCACTAGCAATATGACTCAGACAGGTTTCTCAACCTTTCTGAGCCTCAGCTTTCTCATCTGTAAAAGAGTCACCATAATACCCACCTCACAGGGCTGTTCTGAGAATTAAATGAAAAAATGCAAGCAGAGCACTTCCTTTGGAGCCTGGCATCTAGTAAGTGCTCGATAAAAATCTGCATCGAAAATGATTCTGGGTTCTGTGTCCTGGGAAAACAAGTCAGCCTGTGGTGGGCCATCTTCAATGAAAACTTGGTGGTCAGGAAGCTGATCGAATCCTGGTCCACTGATGACTGAGACCAATAACTGGCCCCCGTGCCAAGGGTGGAAGCTCCCACCACAGTCTCTGGGAGAAGCAGCCAAGAGCCAGGGAGGTACTGATGTGCTATCCACTGAAGGTGGTGCACTGATCAACTCCACCTTCAGTTGAGCAGAGCCATCTCCTGGTTATAGAGCTGGCTAATCAAACCAGCATGCAAAGATGGGAGAGGCAGACCCCTGATTTGTCCAGGGACCCAGGAGAGAGCCAAAACAGACCTTACTTGCTACTATGCAGCAGGGTGACCCTGCAGAAGCCACTTTCCTGCTCTGTGACTCAGTTTCTTTATCCGTAAAATGGCGGTATAGTATCTCCCTTGCACGGTAGAAGTGGTGGCGATACAGCAAGTTCTCACTCCGAAGACACCACACAGCCTTCTTGGCACCAGGCAGGGCCTAAAAAATGTGAGGGAGCCTGCTTTCCACCCTTGCTGGCTGGACTCTCGGAGAAGCCTTTTTCCACAGTGATCAGAGAGGGAATTGGAGGCGCAGAGGAGAGGCCAAGTTCACTTGTCTAAAGATAGGACTGCGTCATGGCCAAAGTCAACATGGTGGATACTCAGAAAGTGTAGCTTTTAGGAAACATTCCCTCATCTGTGCAGACGATACCAGGCGTGATGTCTGGAAGAGCCTGGAGGACCCACAAAGCCAAACTTTTATCTTGAATGCAGAGATCTCATGGGGGAGCAAGACCCAGAAGCCAAGGAGTCCTGGGTGGGTTGTAGGGAAAGCCCAGCCCGGGCTGGCCTGGGTGCTGGGGATCCCGAGACCGACAACATCCTCGGCTTTTGTGTGGCCCAGCTCCCCAAACACGGGTCCCATGTTAAAGAGAGAGGGTCGAGGAGAACTCAGCCAACCTACTTCACGCCATGGCATGTGAATGCCGAGCTGTGAATCAAGGTGGAGCCCACCTGTGCCAACTATCACACGCATCAGAGCTCCCAGGATTCCTCCTGACTCAGCTAGAGCCATGATGTTCATGGATGAGTCCATCTTTCCCTATTTCTCATTCTGCATCCAAAAACCAGAAGTGCATTTACTTCTTGCTTCCATTACTTGGAGCTCTGAGTCCTGGGCCCTTCCAGAGTGGCCGTGGGTGGTCAGAAAAGTTCAAGGGCTCGGAGAGAGACTGAATGGAGAATGTGGGTGCTCCTGAGAGTGGACCCTCAAAGCTGGGGTGGACTCTGAGGCAACCTTCGTCCCTGCTGCCTTTGAGAGCCCCTGGGCAAGACAGCAAGAGCAGAGGCAGAAGAGGACCTAGGGAACTTCTATTCTGTCTCACCTCTCACTTGCTGTGTGACCTCAGGCAACTCTCTCTCCATCTCTGAACCTCATTCTCCCAAGGACAACACCCAGTCCCTGCTGCAGCCAGACACAGAGAAATGGGGCATCACATACCTCGGGTCCGGGGGGCCCAGGAAACCCAAGAGATCCTTTGTCTCCAACTTTGCCCTGTGGAAGAAGAGAGGTTGTGGGGTCACAGGGCTGAGGGGCTCCCTTCCACCAGCTCCCTGCATTATCCCTCTGGCTGTGTGGGGTTGGAAAGTTTAGCATATGCATAAAATCTGCCCAGACAACAAGAAGGCACTGTTGTTCAAACTCCACTTCCAATGTCTCCTAGCCAGGGGATCCTGGGCAAATCATGTCACCTTTCGGAATCCTGGTTTCCCCATCTGTAAAATGGGAGCAATACTAATTCCCTCACTGATGGGGTAGTTGGTAGCCCTCTAAGAAACACCGAACACAAAGGGTCTGACACACAGGAAAATGATAAATGCCAGCCACTGCTGTAACTATAACATTATGACCGTTCACAAGGCATCAGGGGCCCTGATTCCTATCAGAGCTCTGTCAGTGAAAGAGGCCTCTCTACGATGCTGGGTGAGTGACTGCCCCTCTGGGCCTCAGTGTCCTTGTCTGTAAAATGGGCAGATATGATATGGCTGCCCTGCTTGGCTGGGCCTGCAGGGCAGCTGCAGGAGGCAATGCTAGGTGCAAAGGTGTCCCCGGCCACATTCTGCGACCATCTAAGAGCGTGATGCCCAAGATACAGGAATAGAAGGTACTCACCGGAGGCCCTGGCTTCCCCCGTGTGCCCGGGAACCCCGGCAAGCCCTGGCTCCCCTAGAAGAGACCCAGAACAGGCTGGGGTTAGTGAGGAAAAGAATGGCCAGGTGAGTGGCTGCCTGGTCCTCCCACTGGCCAGGCCTGGAGAGTGCTTTCCTTGGAGAAGGGCAAGTTCTCCTCGGGACAGGCTCCTGCTTGGCCCAAGCCTGCCCGACACCCCTGCAGCCTGATCCTCCATGCTTGCCAGGAAGCATCAGGGGCCCTGGGGCTACAAGCAGGCTCTGTGGCGCCTCTGAGGCCTGGGGAACTCCAGAGAAGGGGCCCTGTAGGAGAGTAGCTGGACCCGCCATGGCTCCCAACCCAGAGACACTGAGGCTGGGTCAGGATAGGCCAATGAGAAGGAAGGCAGGGCAGAGGGAGGGCTGGCCAACATCTGGGCCTCGTTGATGGCTGGGAGAGGTCCAGATATGGCCACATGGTACAGGACACAGGCAGAGAGGAGCCGGTCTCAGCAGGCACACAGCTGGGCTCTGGAAGGCAGGGTCGCCTCTGTTGGTTCCTTGGTCAGTCTGTCAGTTAGTAGGGCCAGTTCCTCCCTCCCCCCAACTTGTCCTCAATGTTCACTGTTAAGTGCGGGACCTTGAGCCCACGTTCCCAAAAACAGGAGAGAAAGCTGCACCCCAGGTGAGGTACAGACATGCTGCTCAGGGCACTCAGAGAGGGAAACGGCCACTTTCTGAGCAGGTAGGAAAATGTCCTCTGAGCAGGGTGGTGTGGAGAGGCTGGCAGAGGCAGCAGCATGTGCAAAGGGCAGAGGCGATGGGAGGCTGGCTCAGTGGGGCTGGAGCACAGAGCTGTAAGGGGGTGGGCAGGAGACAACCAAGGAGACCCATTCACTGGGGTCCTGAGGGCCTGGGTAGGGGGTCAGAACATCACTCGAAGCAAGAGGGAGCCACAGATGATGTATGAACAGAGTTGTGCCCACAGAGAAACAATCTAGTGGCAGCGGGAAGGCAGAGTCTGGGGGCCTTTGTAAAGTCCGGGGAAGAGGTGATGAGTGGTTGGATCAAGGGTGGAGAAGACAGAATTATTTGAAAGGCAGCCATCTCCCAGGTGGGTCCTGGCCCACGGCAGGCCCTGGGAAGAAAGCCAGGACCGCAAGGATGGAGGGCAGGGGCAGGGGTAGGGGGAGAATTCAATGCAATTACCTTGTCTCCTTGGAATCCAGGATCTCCTGACACACCTGGAACCCCTTGTTCACCCTAAGTGCACACCAGCAAAGAAGTTACAATGGAGACCACGTGGGCTCCAGGGACCGCCCCCACAGCCAGGCCCCCTGGCGAGGTACAGCTTTGCTAGAGGACAGGATGGGCCACCCGAGGGGAAAGCAGGCCCTGCCGGGGCACGAACTGGTTTATGTGCAGACCTCCCTGGGATTGCTTGGATGACTGAAAACTCCAGTAACAGACGTCAAACTGTCCAGGGTCACCCAGCTTTCCCTGGGGACATCTGCAGAGCAAATGCACTGTTTTTTGATCCTTCAACCTCTTCAGCATCAACTGATGCTGTCACACAAAGGTGGGGACAACTTGCCCAAGGACCCCGCACCGCTGTGGTTTCTGACTGCGTGTGTCTGCCTGTTGGTATTTTTCACTACCAGCCTGTGAGCTGTCACTTCCTCCTTCTGAGGGTGTTTTTGGGCCAGCAATCAGCTTCAGCCTCCTACTAATCAGTTGTTTTTAACCAGCTATAGCATGGGAAACCAGATTGCCTGGCACATTAAGACTGTGTGCAAACAGCGAGTCAACTGGTCTCGACTTAGATCTGGGCATTCTCTCCCAATGTATTGCGTAGGCTTGGTGACACCAATTCTGGCCGTTGGAGGCATCTTCTCCCTTCCTGTTTTTAGCCATGTCCTGGTGAAGGACAGGTGCAGACAGGATTGGAAGATGTTTCCCTCAAGGCCAGACCACTTCACACAGCCCTCACCCTTTCCGACCCTCCATGATGGACGTAACAGGGTCCATTGACCCCAGAATTCAGAAAATATTCACATCCCTGGAAGCAAGAGGATGAGTGGGAGAAAACTCATGGAAGAACAGAGATCCTTAGGAAACCCATGCTGTACAGTTAAGGCCATGACCCAGAAAAAGAACTTCCTTAGTGGAACAGAAGCTAGAATTTAAAAAATAAAAAAATTTTTTTTAACTTACTTTGGTTTTTCCAATTTGGAAAATCCTGTACAATATCCTGGAGTTTGGGGAACCAAGGAATTTTTTTTTTTTTTTAATATCCGAAAGAAGAGGGGATAAAAAGAAAAAAAGATAGGAAAAAAGGCACATTTAGAAGGCACCTAGGAAATCAGGACAGTGGATCTGGAGAGAGCTGAGCTCAGGGCAGGCACGTTGGTTCCAGAATTGGACTCCACGCTGAGAGAGGGAGCCAAGCTGTAAGTGGGACTGAGGCCAGGCTGGGTCATGGAAAATCCGGGATTCGAGGCAGGAGCGACCTCAGAACATGAAGAGATGGCTCTGTCATCCCAGGGGAGGGCCAAGGGCCACGTATGTGTGTGGCTGATCAGAACACAACACTAAGACCCTCCCAAAAAGGGACAGAAAAGAGATTTCCTTTTCTCTTTCTTCTTCTTTTTTTTTTTTAAACTCCAAAGACATACTTGATTTTCCTACAAACTATGGGCATGAAAATAACTTCCTCCTTTTTTTTTCCCAGAGTTTTCACATCTCCAAATGTCCCAGGCAACTCCCATGAGCAAGCCAGCCGAGTTCTATGTAACACATTTATTTCCATGTTCCTGAAGCAACACTGAGCCAAGCCAGCTCCACAGAGGGGCCTATAAAAAGCTCACTGCTGACACTCTCATTTTCCCAACTTCCTTTCTCTCGTCCATGACTTAACATTTCCAGAGCACCGCTGTCCCAAGCCTCGGCATAAACAGGTAGGTGTGGAGAAGCCCCGCCTCCAACTGGAAGCCCCTTTCAGAGAGGGTGGGCCCAGGCAGAGGGGCTGAGCAGGCAGCAGGGCAGGCGGGCAGAGGTGGCTGCAGCTGGAGGTGTGGTTATGACAGGAGGAGCCGGAAGGGGTAGCAACAGGTAGAGAAAGGACTGGGGTTGGCATTCACCCTACTGGCTATTGGGGGTGGGCTTGTAAAAAACAATCTGGGGCCAGGCATGGCGGCTCATGCCTGTAATCCCAGCACTTTGGGAGGCCCAGGCGAGAGGATTGCTTGAGGTCAGGAGTTCAAAACCAGCCTGGGCAACACAGCAAGACTTCATCTCTACAAAAAATAATAATTAAAAAACTGGGAGCCGGGCTCGGTGGCTCAGTCTGTAATCCCGCGCCTTTGGGAGGCTGAGGTGAGTGGATTGCCTGAGTACGCGGGTTCGAGACCCACCTGGGCA